AAATATTAATGAAATTATAATGAAATTTTAATGAAATTGGGTCAAAATTGTGAATGCTTTTCAAACATATTTCAGCAAAAGTTCATTATATTTTCAATGAATTATTTCCATCAGATACAAATATCTCAATTGAGATCTTACATGCGAAATTTTGCGGAAACCTCAACTGAGAATTCAATTGAGAATTTAATTGAGAATTCAATTGGGAATTCAATTGTGATCTCAATAGAAATTTTTCAGTAGGGTAGCTAGTACCTAGCTAATACTACTAGCTAGTAGCGGTGTAAGATTCAACTTTTCTGTGTCATTACTAGACAATCACTACATTCAATTTTTACTCGGGCGCACAACACATACAACATACACACACGACTCGGGAATTTGAAGAAATAAAGAGAATTTCATCTCCGCACTGGTTAATTTATATGCAATAAAGGAATTTATATGCGGTCGTTTCTTTAAAGTTTACATTCTTATCAGTATGAACTTTTACACTGCATTTGACATATTTGTAAAAGTGATGTGTCCACCACGCTGGATGAATACTGTAATACCTTTGCGGTTGATTAAAAACATTCCACGCGGCGGCAATTAGAGCATTTATGGTGATGTCGACAGGTATAAAATTCGCCAAACAATCAGTGTCGCCCATCAAAAATCTTGTTACGCCTTTAGAGAAAGGAACTATTATTCCCATCGGTCCATGATACTTGTCTATCCATCCCACTACCGGTTCACAGGCGATATTCATCACTAAACGAGAAAAATACAAAATTTTAATACTGTAAAAATTTGAAAATGAAATAAAGAAACAAAATATTTGTGTAAGAATACAAATTGCGCATTGTCGACGTCTTAATAATGATGTTGGGAAACTAATATACCTCCAATCGCCTGGATTAATAGACCGATTCAAATTCAGACAATCTTCTTAAGTAACTGATGAATTTCTCACCTGCGGATGGCCGAAATATTCCGATCGACAAACTCTCGCTGCTGTCCCTAATAAGCACTTCCGTGATTGCTTTTGTGAATGAGTAAGTGTTGGGCCACTGTGCGGCGGCTCTGTCAAAAATTATTAGTTGTACTTTCATTTCCTACATATATTATATATACTTGTTCAATTTAGTTATTGCATTATAAAATGAAGAATATATACTTTAATATCTTCGGGTCGATCGTATTTTCCGACGACGTTCGCATTAGTGTAATAAATTCTTTAGGGTCAATGGGATATTTGTAGAAACATTCTTCTATGTGTGTTACTGTGGTGAAGCAATTAGCAGTTATAGTCGACACGTGAATGAATGACTGCGAAAGAGAATTCGATAATTAAAAAATAAAATTTTAGAGAGGAATATCTTATCTTTAAATACAATAAAAGGAAGTAAAAGGAAAAAGCAATTAAGAGCCGGCGTATTCTTTCGGTTTTGGTCTTCCAATCTGTTGATCTTATTTGTAACTTTATTTTTTTTCTTTCTTATCTTTTTCTGAAGAGGACCCAAATCGGGTAGAAATATAATTGATATTGTAGTCTCTGTACATTGTATTACATTGTATTATATTGATTGCACTTTTTTACCTGTGCCCGGCTCTTAATTGCTCTTTCCTTTCATCTCCTTTTATTGTATTTAATACTTAGAGCCATATACTTATTAGAGCCATTTTTATTAATTTTCTTTTAATTGTGGTACTTGCCTTTAAGTGCGGCATACGTTTGGCCAGATCCAAAATAGCGCAGGTGCCGTACACGTTTATTTTTGTAGCGATTTTTATGTCTTCATTGAAGCGTACAGCCGCCGCCAAGTGGAAAATTATCGATACCTGCGATAAAATAGAAATAGAATCGTCTCAAATATTTCGAAGATTACGATCAGATTCACACGTGATATACGCGCTTACCGGATGTATTCAGTTCTAAAATATATGATGCTGCTGACTATACAGGTGACAATTATATGAGTTTTATGTAAAAACTATATATATATATATATATATATA